GGTGGTTTTGACCTGCTGACCCTGCAGTTAGCAGCCCACGACATCGTAATTTACTACACCACCAGGGCTCCCCAGTTGTGAACGTATACCCTGGGAAATGTAGCAATCTAGGGACGTAGGGATTAGGAACTAAAACCTCCCCCAGATGTTGGGATGGCTGTGAGTTGGTCTCGCCTCACTCATAATCGAAGTTCGGCTCAATCGCAGTTTCACACCCAGCAGACGGGCTAGGCTTTAAAACTGGACAAAACTAAGCATGAGCCAGCGCGTGTGGCCAGCCCCCTGGGTGGTGTCGGGGGAGCGGATTCTGACTCCTGGTCTCCAGCCTGTGCAGAGAGGGCCTGTGCCCCTCTGCAGGGTTTCGAGGTTGCACCTTTCAGAAGCAGGTGGCCAGGCCTTCCTTTCGACGCACCTCTAGGTAGGTTTGAGCCGCCGGTCACTCAGCTAGCAGTTCAGTGCTCACCCCATTGGTGGACCTACTCAGAGGGGCCCCCCTAAATAGGGAGAACAAACCCCGTGTGAACTGTCTGCATTTCCACTCCTGGTAGCATTCTCACCCCTGTTGATAGAAGAGCGAGCCCACCATCAAACAGTCATCAGAGCGTGTGGTGGAGTGGTTACTAACCCTAACGTCCACAGTTCGAAACCACCAGCCTATCCTTAGGAGCAAGACGAGGCTTTCTGCTCCCGTGAAGAGTTACCGTCTCAGAAACCCACAGGGGCCATCCTGCCCTGTTCCGCAGGATCGCCATGAAGTCGGACTGGGCTTGGTGGCAGGGAGTTGGATTTGGGGCTGGCCACCTTGGTAACAACCGGACGGTCCCTAAACCGGGTGACAAATGAAGAGTCCCCGGGGAAGGAGCTCACACTCAGTAGCATGGAGGGGCAGCGGGAAAGAGGACAAGCCTGGACGAGATGGGCCGATACAGCGGCTGCAACAGGGGCTTGTGCATCAGAACATCGTGAGGGTGGCACAGGGCTGGGCGGTATTCCTTCTGTGGTGCACGGCGTCTCTGAGTCGGAACCAACTCGGTGGCACCGAGCAACCACCGCAGCAGCAACACCACTGTCACACCGTGGGCGTGAAGAACAAACCAACACCACCATCACACCATGGGGGTGAAGAACAAACCGTGGGGAACTTTGGGAAGCAAAGCTAAAGGCCTCCACGGGGCAGAATCGCTCAGACATGACAGGGTGTAGGAAAAGCGAGGTGCAGGAATGTACCCCCAACCGCAAGGCCAACGATGGAAAGGGTCTGTCTTTCAGAACCAAACCTCCTCCTCTAAATGCATGCACAGGGGCCCCCCCGGGCGAGGTGGACGCTCAGTGCCCGGCTTCACACTGAAAGGCTGCTGCTGCCCTTCGCCCAGAGGGCCGGCCGGCTTGTCCCCTTCAGGAAGGTCATTGCCATGGAAACCCCAGAGCAGGTCTGCTGCCCCGGTGGGGCTGCCGCAAGTTGGGTGTTGTTGACTTGGCGGCC